GTAGTGGCAGTAGTAGTGGTAGTAGTCGTCGTCGCCGTAGTGGCAGCGGCAGTGGCGGTGGCGGTGGCAGCGGCGGCGGTAGTGTTAGTGGTACTGTGGAGAGACTCAGAGAGAGAGAGAGAGAGAGAGAGAGAGTGTGTGTGTGTGAGTGAGAGAGAGGCGGAGAAAGAGGGAGAGAGCAGCACCGCAGCCCCTGTTTAATAATTATAGAGACTCATGTTCAGTGTTCAGTCGTAAGAAGGGCCGGGCATTCCACTGGCGAAAATCTTGCACCAGGCACACTGCATGTTCTCGACGATATAGACATCGCGTTGCGGGGTTATCACACCGTGCCGCAGGCCATCACCTCGCCTTTGGGAACGCAGATTCCTCAGGCAGGCAATGTAGGGGCATAAATAAGTACCTACATTATATTGAGTGTTCCTTATTATAACTATAGTATAATGGGCCCCCAAACCTTATTCTAATTATTAAGGCATCTATATTATGGAGAAGCACAGGGCTCTTTGTGGTTTTAAGTTGCTTGAAGAGTTAGAGGTTCGGGGTTGCTGTAAAGGTTCCCCCAAGAGATCCATGCGGGTATTGTTAGGCTTAGGGTTAGGGTTTAGGGTTTCGGGGTTCAGTGATTCAGGAGTTGGGCTTAGGGTTTAGCTGACTGAAGAGAGCCATGTCGGGATGAACACCATCACATCTGTTGGTATGGTTGCATCTTGGACTGTCTGTGGTGATCGTGATGATGTTGCATTGGGGATTGTCATCAGTCTTCTGCTTAAACCTCAAATCCAAAAGCCCGAAGCACTAGACTCACCAAGCCTTAGTGGACCGGGTACCCGAATTAGCGTTTAGGGCCATGATCTTGGGCTAGGGTTTAGAAGTGTGGGTTTGGGGCCTAGGAGGACAGATGTTGTTCACTTCACTGCTTGATAAGTGCATGGGCAACATCGAAACATGAGGAGGCTATATATATATATATATATATATATAATGGCAGCTGTGCCATGGCTGGTCTCGCCCTCGAAGGCACCCTAAACCCTAAACCCTAAAACCCTAAACCCTAAACCCTAAACCCTAAACCGTGGCACGAAGTGAAGTTCATGCCTGGATCTGCAGCATAAAATGCCCGGCAGAGAGTGGGCATTCGCATACGATTTCAAGAACTTCAACGCTCTGCACTGAAGGCAGGACATGAAAAGGTATTACAATCTTCTGAACAGGGCAGGAGTCACAATCGACCACAACTACGACGGGATACACCCGATGGATGGGTTGCTTGAAGCAGTTGGCAAGACGTGCATCAGGTCATCAGGCGAGCACAAGCTCACAAACGCACTGTCTGGCTTGCTGTCAGGCATACGAGCAACGATGGAACCAACACTTCGATGAACATGTCATCCCAACCCTCTTGCTCGAGGTTTGGCGACTTTAGGCTGGCTCTCAACTAGCCGCAGCCACGGCAACACACAGACAGATAAGGGGGGCTTGGGGTTTAGGGGTTCAGGGTATCGGGTTAAGGTTTATTGATAGTAGAAGCCATAAAATTTGGAACATTATAGTCCTCATGCCCTTAGAGTACAGTACAAGGCATCCGAGCGCAACTCATCCTAACCCCATGTGCCAAATTTCTGAGGTTGAGGTCCGGGTTTAGGGTGTAAGTCGTAACCCCTCAACCGCGAAACCCTAAACCCCAAGAGCGAAGCCTGAAACGAGGCAGTGGGTGCTGGCTACGGCTTCCGCATCTCCGGGGAGCGCAGGGTGCGCCCAGGGCTGAAACACCTTCTGGGTTTCAGGTTTAAGGTTTAGGTTTTTTCGATTGAAGCCTAAATAATTACCGTTTTTAGTTTGAGGGGTTCCTTGTTGTATTTATAGTGTAATTTACCCCAAAACCCTATTCTAATTATTAAGGCCCCTACATTAGGCCTCAGGATTCGGGGTCGAATCTGGTTGCTGCTTGTGCTTCGATCGTCTTAGGCATGGGCAGAACATGGCAGATTATCACTAAGTTCCCCAGTAGTACCCTTTTGCCCTTTTTTCTTGTTAAAGGTTCTCGTAACAAAACCAGATAGTAGGGTACCCTTATATTTGGGGGCTACTGGGGAACATAGATCATGCTGTTTGATAGGCGTGGCAGATTCCCAAGGGCGGACAACCAGACCGAGACGAGAGTTCACATGAGGAAGAAAGAGGAATAGACGGGTGGGCATAAGACGAGATGACCATGATGATGTAGGCTCGTGCCCTAAACCCTAAACCCTAAACCCTAAACCCTAAACCCTAAACCCTAAACCCTAAACCCTAAACCCTAAACCCTAAACCCTAAACCCTAAACCCTTAACCTAAACCGGTACTCAAGAGTTGTGAGCTATGTCTGCTATTTCTGAGGGTTCAGCATCACAGGGCCCCAGGCCGCCTCTGGGTGAATGCCCCAGGCCCTGATTCAATGTGCTCAAGGTTTAGGGTTTAGGGTTTAGGGTTTAGGGTTTAGGGTTTAGGGTTTAGGGTTTAGGGTTTAGGGTGTTATTCTTCTTCTTCTTGTTATTGTTCTTCTTCTTATTTGAAGATTTACGATGTCTGTGGCATGAAAACGCCGCGCACACTTGTAGCTTGAAACCTTCTTTTGTTGCTATGACTAGTTAGTCCTAATCTTGTTATTGTTGTCAGGATTATTGTTAGACTTGGTAATTCTGCTCCCATGACAGCAAAGCAGGTGTGGTCAACGTTCACGCAGATGCCAGGTGGGGGTGGCGTTCTTCGGCGAGGGCGCAGCTTCTGAGGGTGACTTTGCCGTTGCTTTGCTCCTTGGAACAACAGAGTTTGAGCCCTAAGCCCTATAGTAGAAGCCCAAAAGTTGGAAACCCAATAGCCTCAACCCTTAAGAGTAATGTATAGGGAATGCCAGCACCACTTGTCCTTAATCCGGTTTCCAAGTTCTTGAGGCTTACTATAAACCCTAAACCGTGGCTATAAACTTCAAGAGGCCCGAAACCCGAAACTCCAAGTTGTTAGGGTTTAGGGTTTAGGGTTCAGGGTTTCGGGTTTAGGACTGGCCCTAAACCCCAAGCCCTAAACCCTACACCCAGGCGGGAGGGCCGACAGTTTCGCAGGACCAGCGTGTGCAGGCCTAGGCCCTTTGCCAGGCCTCCAACCAAACCCTATTCTGATTATTATAAGGCTCCGTCAATAGAACCCTATTATAGAACCCTTTAAGGATCCCTTCAGAGGAACCCTATTCTAATTATTAAGGCTCCTGTATCACTCAGAAATGAACAGGAACGGGGCCAAGGAAGTAAGTGTCAAGAGGACAATCGGTTCGTCCTAGGCGGCGGCGACAGGGAAGCCTCGAAGGAAGCCTGAAACAGACCCTTAGAGGAGACTTTAAAAGGCGCCCCTATAGATCCCATAAAGGAGCCCTTAAGGAACCCCTATAGATCCCTTATAAGGGAGCCCTTAACGGAACCCCCCTACGGATCCCTTAAAGGAGACCTTACAAGGATCCCCGAAAGATGACCGTAATCCATGGCAGACTTTGATAGCTGTGGCCTCGTACGTTAAGCCCTAAAGTCCTGAAGCCGAAAGCCGAATCCTTCACTTGAAAAGCCTAAGCCCTAAATCCTAAAGCCTAAACCCTAAGCCCCTAAACCCTACATCCTAAAGCCTAAACCCTAAACCCTAAAGCCTAAACCCTAAGCTCCTAAACCCTAAATCCTAACGCCTAAACCCTAAATCGGGCTGGGCTGCCTGAGGAACTTCGCCGCCACCCTACAGTCGCAGGCACGCTTCCAAGTGGAAGGGTAGGGCTCGGGAGTAATTCAGATCCGTTTAAGGGTGGTCTCGAATTTAGGATTGAGGATTTAGGTCGGACTAATTTAGGGTTTAGAGTTTAGGCTTTAGGGTTTAGGGTTTAGAGTCTAGAGTTTAGGATTTAGGATTGAGGTTCGGGATTTTGGGTTTACGGGTGTCTGAGTACGTGGCAATAGTGTTCCTTAGTCAGGTCCTCTTCATCTGTCGCAACAACGGCTGGGCCATTTCGACGCCTGCAGAGGACGTCACTGCCGATGCTTCGGGTTTAGGTTCAGGGCTTAGGGCTCAGGCTGATGATAGTGATGGTCATGCCTAAACCCTAAACCCTAAACCCTAAATTCATGGTGGTGGTGATGTTGATGATGATGATGAGGAGGATGATGCTGATTGTGGCCGAGTTTCCGTCATGAGTAGAAGAGCGACAGCTGCTAGTGCTGTCGTTTCCGGTAGCATGGCTACTATGGTGATATCTACTATCTACTACGGCAGAAGTAGCATAAACCCCACACCCTAAACGGTAAGCCCTACACCCTTAACCCTAAACCCTACACTCTCTACACCCTAAAGAGCTAAACCCTAAACCCTAAATCGTGTCAAGTAATTGCATGATCTAAAGGCTCTTGCGGAAAGAAAAGGAACTTACCATGTCTCGTCTCAGCTGAATCCTCTACAGAGTCCTGCAGAACCCGTGCGAATTTCTTCTGACAAGCTGTAAAAGCTGATTTCACCCAGCTCCAACTGAATCGACTGTTGGTGGCCGCCACCTTGGAGCGGATGTGCCAGTGCAGACCGTTGTCGGGCGCCCGACTTTCTCAGAAAACTGGGTTCGGGTCGTACAGGACTTGGATCACGTCTGGCGCGCTCACAGTACGCCACAAGCGGCACAAGCTGCCGTGTTGAGACACTGTTAGCGCCAAAAAACGTATGTCCAGACGTACCGCGAAAGAAGTGGCATGGTCTATATTTTCGGAACGCCACAGCAATGTAATAGATGGCGGCTTCCACGGGACGCGTAGCAGCAAGGCTGGCAGCTCCAATAGGAATTAAATTAATGGCCGGGGAGGAATGGAGGACACCCTAACCCCGAAGCCTTAAATCCTAAACCTGTCGGGTAATTGCCCCATGTCCGGTCACCTTCCCTCCGGGGATCCCTGAGAAGTCTTGGGCAGATTGGAAAATCGGTGTTCCAAAAAGCCCTACTTGGAGGTTCATGGGCAGTTATATGTGGGGTTATAAGTCCCCTCACATGGGTTATAACTATAGTTATCCTACTTCTAACTCCACTTATAATTGCCCATGAACCTCCAAGTAAACCCTAAATCCTAAACCCTAAACCCCTAAACGCCTAGACCCTAGACCCTAAACCCTAAACCCTAAACCGTTTTAAGGGTTTTGCTTCAAGTAAACCCTAGAGGAAGCTCGAGAGAAGCCAAAGACCGAATCTTGAGCCTCGAGCCCGAAGTAACACCCCAAGCCCAACAGTACTTGGAGGTTCATGGGTTTAGGGTTTAGGGTTTAGGGTTTAGGGTTTAGGGTTTAGGGTTTAGGGGTAGTTATAAGTAGGCTTGTAAGTTCC